GCTAAAAACTTGGTATTAGAGATGTTAAGAAATCCGAGTTACAACTTACCGCTTATGGCGGAAATTTAATCAAAATCATCGGCATCACTCAAGTTAAAGTGACTTATGAAGGTATCTCAAAATATTTAAAAGCGGTAGTCGTTGAATCAAGTAAAAATGCCTTGTTGGGACTTACATGGATCAATGCTTTCAAAAATATTTTAAATAAATTTATAGCAAATGTTGACACTAATTACGAAGATGAAATAGAAAAATTGATTAAAGAGCGTGAATCCAAATTGATAATGGGCCAATCAACAAAGCAAGTGTCAAGTTACATTTAAGAAGAGATGCCCAACCTAAAATTATACCGCCTAGACGTATTCCTTATTCAAAAATTGATCTTGTTAGCAATGACCTTAAAAAATGTATACATGATAAAATTATTGAGCCGGTGAATGATGTCCGGGCAAGTCCTGTTACCGCTGTCTACAAAGATGATTGGACCATTAGGCTTTGTGGTGATTTTAAAGACACTGTAAACCCAACTCTAGAAGATTTCAGATACCATCTACCACGAATCAATGATCTAATAGCTAAACTTTCAGAAGGAAAGAAATTTACGAAGATTGACTTTAAAAATGCTTTCTTACAGATCCCGATTGATAAAAGTTGCAGAAATATTTTAACCATATCTACGCACAAGGGATATTACCAATTTACTAGACTTCCTTTTGGGCTTAAGACCTCATCTGCAATCTTTCAACAGATCATGAATCAAATCTTAGATGGATGATGTCATATTTTATATTGATGATTTACTTATAACTGGAAAAAACGATGAAGCCCACCTTAACAACATAAAAAAAGTGTTTGATAGAATATCATCCTTTGGGCTAATACCTAACTTCAATAAAAGTGTGTTCTTTAAAAACAAAGTGAGGTTCCTGGGTCATGATATTGACGCTAAGGGGATTCATGCTAATCACGACAAAATTGAGGCAATAATTAATATGCCAGAACCAAAATCAGCTGCTGAATTATCAAAATTTCTGGGAATGGCTGGCTACTAGAAAATTTTTGAACAATTTTGCAGAAATAGCCTATCCTCTGTATAAGATTGTCAACAAAGAAAAATGGGCTTGGAACCTAGAATACTTTAAAAGTTTTAATGATCTTGAAGTTGATTAGTCTTCCATCTGCTTTGACATATTTTAACCCTGAATTACCTATAGGGATGGCCACTGACGCATCGAAATGTGGTTTAGGAGCTGTATTATTTCATACTGAAAAAGATGGTAAAGAAAAACCTATAGCTTTCGCGTCAAGAACTTTATTAAAATCCGAAATGAACTATACCAATATTGAGCGTGAGGCTCTCGCTATTATGTTTGCTATAAGAAGGTTCCAGGAATACTTAATCGGCACGAAATTTACAATTATTATTGACCATAAACCTCTAGTTCACATATTTACCAAGGGTTTTAAGGATAATAACACTATGTCCTTAAGACTCCAGAAGTGGAATATTACATTAGGAGGATATGATTTTAATATAAAGTATAAAGTCGGTAAATATTATGTTGTTCCTGATTGTCTCTCGAGATTACCACAAGAATGTCATGATGAAGCTGTTGAAAATATCACTATAATAAATGAATATGGGGATTTACCTATTAATGTTAATCAAATTCGTGACGAAACTTTGTAAGATATGGAATTAAAACAAGTCATAAATGATATTAGGAACAACAGGCCTATAATGAATAATATTTATAAAAACATTGATTTGGAATTAAGTATAATTAAAGATTGTCTTTACAAAAGCAACAGAATCATAATTCCGTCTTCTATGAGAAAAAATATACTACAGTCATTACATGAAGGTCATTTGGGAGCAGGAAAAATCAAATCCTTAGCCAAAGATTACATGTGGTGATGTGGTATAAACAATGACATATTAATGGAAGTGAAAGGTTGTGACGATTGTAACATATATCATGATAATCCTATAAAGATACAAAAACCATGGGTTTCGGCAACCAAACCGTTTGAAAGGATACACATAGATTATGCGGGTCCGTTTTTCACAAAAACTCCCTCGACAAATATTGCAGATAGAAATCCTGAAATCCCTATTCCCCAACCTCATAGGATTTCTATCCTATGTTTATCATTCTTTTCTTATATCCAATTTGATGAACTAATATTTCTCATTATTCGCATACTGATGATAATAACAATTTTGAAAAATGATAATAATAACAACTGAGCATTACAAAGTCACGATTTATAAGGACAACTTACAATAAGGATATCAAGCTTGCGATTTAAACAAACCAACGTGCAAAATCGATTTAAACAGATCAACGATTGGGACAAGCCAACGATATGATGACTTGTGAAACAACTTGATGAACAAACTAACTACGATAACATATTAAACTTATGTGAAGGCTTTTTAGAAGAAGGAGAATGTTATATATTCAAATTTGTACTTCAATTGATTCAAATTATATTTTTATTTTAGTTATAATTTTATTTTATATCTTAACCTTTTTAAAATTATAGTCTAATTTTAATTTGTAAAAAATGTTATATATATACCTTACAAAAAGAGAAAGATATTAGACAATAAAATATATTTTTCATACTCTCCTTAAAATTGTTTTTCTCTTCAAATCATTATTAAACCTATAATGATTATAGTTATTATAACTAGCTCTATTATTAAATCTCGAAGAATTATTGTACGATCCTGGATAGTTTGCTCTGACGTTATTGTAATAATTCGCGTTATAATTCTGAAATCTAGGGTTGTAATTATTTCCTTGATATCTGGGGATATAATTATATCCTTGATAATTATTTCTTTGAAAGTCATGGCCTCTTGTTGTCCATCGTTGTCTGTTATCTTAATTAGATTGTAAATTTTGTCGTTCGTCATGGTCTCTATATCTCACCAATTGTTTATTTTCTTCTGTTTTCCTGCCTCAATGCCTTTCTACATGTTTCACAGTTGTATCATCTTCTGTTTTTTCGTTTAAAGAAATATTTTCAACTTTAGCAATTATATTTTCTTTCAATTCTAACTCTTCAAAATCATCTCTTAAAGTAAGAACTTCTGCTAATGTAATGTTTTCTTATAACGTAATTTTCTGCCTAATATTTTTGCTGATTGATGAAATTATTACTTTTTCAATAACTCTTCTATAACTTAGCAAACATTCATTTTTTAAAATGCATAATCTACTTACCCAATTGATGTAACTTTCGTTTTTACCTTGTACAGCTGCGTTAAATAATAACATTTTTTAAAATGCATAATCTACTTACCCAATTGATGTAACTTTCGTTTTTACCTTGTACAGCTGCGTTAAATAATAATAAGTTGGAACTTGTAGATTTCCTCAGGTGTAATAACCTGAATTTTTCAATTAATATCGATGAATTGATGAAGTCGGTAGGTGAACATATCGATTTGAGCTTAATATATACCTCATCTGGTAATTTTCTTGTAAAGGAACCTGCTTTTTCGATGTCTGAGATCTAGGTGTGCTTAAAGATGTCTTTGAATCTACTCAAAAAAAGATCGCCATTGCCTGAGTATATTAGAAATTCAATATTTATATTAACATTATTATTAGGAATCTGTTTCATATTTATTTATTTATGATTTCCTCGAATATGTAGCGGAACTGCCACCATAAAGTTTTCTAAGAATAAATGAATTATGAGTTCAATTTTATTTAATTTAGAATAAATCAAAGTTACGAGTTTAATTATATTTAATTTATTTTAAAATTTTTACAAATTTGTCTCGCTCGTTGGGAAATTAAAAAAAAATATATATATGTGTTGGAATATTACATATAATAAATCTTTAAATGGTAAAAAAATGTTGATATATAAAAAAAAGAAAAGGCATAGTGGATAGCCAGTTTAATAATATTGTCTAAACGTTGCTTTAAAAAAATTGGTATGGAAGGAAAGTTAATAAATCATTGAAATGAATAAAAGTTTGGATCTAGTTGGAGGCCTGGCTGGGAACATGGGCTGGGCCATTTAAATATATCTGGTCAAGCCTAATTTTTTTTAAAAAATACCCAGGCAGGGCCGTATATATTCAAACTAAATATTTTAAATGGCCATTATTCGCCCTAAAAATTAAAAATAAATATAATAGATATAAAAAAAGATCCGGGCCTGGCCGTTGAAAAAAAATATACCGGCCGGACCGTGCAAATTATACCTTTGCAGGTCTCTGGCCTATATATAGCTAGAAAATATTTCATAGGATAGTAGGTTAATTTTAATTAAAACAACTTATTATCATTATTTAAAATGTGCGAAATTAATTACTAATTTAATAAATTGTTATTGATTCTCTATTTTTCATCCGAAAAAGATATATTCAAAAGGATAATGATAAAATCTCCAAATTTTAGGTAACTTTGGAAGTTTGGAGATATAAAAAAATAAATTTATTTTTTGGAGTTAATATTTTTTGTCAAAATATGTGAATAATCAAAAATTAGATGAATTTTTAAATATAAAATTAAATTAAAAGAAATGGCAGTGTAGATCTTAATCAATTTTTAAATATCTTATATAAAGAATTTAGAACTATTTATTTTAGGAAAATCAGGAGAAATCATAAGTTAATAGAAGGCGTGTGTTAACATAAGCCACAGTAAAAAATCTGGATATTACGTCAAAATTGGGAGATCTGGCAACCCTGCTTTTAGAGCCCTAAATAGTTTAAGCATAGTTCTACACTATATATGCACAGATAACTATAGCCTTTCAAAAAATTGGTGGATGATTAATAACCCCTCATTGATTTCCCCAGTTTTGGACAGGGTAAGAAGAATCAGTTTTTAATACCATGAAAGAGCAAAGAGTTTGAAAAATGACCAATAACGAAGTTATACAGCTGTCACACGTGATTAGTCATGTCAAGAACATTTATAGTAGACATATAGTATATTCATTTTATCATTATACACTCATGGATTAATTTACTTGACAAATTTTTTATTAAATAGGTATAGTAATCGATGATTTAAAAAATTTTTTCTTTTCATTTTTTAGATATAATATATACACTTTTTTATAATGGTTGCTTATAATAAGTTATACAGAAACTCATTTTATATGAGTGTAAGTTAAAATTTATATTAGTATGATCTTTTAATTATTATTAGGCAAATACGTCTAATTCTTTTATTCTATATATTATATCAGATAGCATTAACAAATCTTCATATAAAAGCATTTCAAAATTAATATATGGTATGATAGATATGTTGAATTTAAATTTTTTATTGGTGGCAGATATTTAAAAAAAAGAGTTTTTCAAACAAGATAATTGATAAAAACTGTTAATATAAAATTTGTAATAAGATATTTATTTAAATATTTGGCAAATGAGTAAAATATTTAATCTAATTGTTTTGGATCAATAAATACACAGAATTTATATTTATGTTACAAAATTATAATGTTAATTTATTTAGGCATAGAATTGATTATTATATTAAATCAAAATTATATAATATTAATTATCATTTTTTATAATAAAAGCTTCACAACACTTTATTATGGATTAATTGAGTGCCATTAATAAATATGACTAGAAATATAAGTATGTTATTTTGAAAGTTATTTACAAAATCATATTGTGGATACTTTGATTGGATATTAATGCATATTACAAAATCCAATAATATAAATTACTTGTCAATTTACTTAATTAATATATCAATATATATGAAACACTACTAATGCCTGAATCAGATAACAACAAATTTATTGACAAATTATCATCTAATACATGTAATGGAACTTTTATTTTTAATAATGGATCAATACATGGCAATAATAATAATTACAAAATAAAAACGCCACAGAAGTTACTATCAGGGAATATATCCACCAATATATCTGATATTTTAGTAAAAGCTAAAGACACTTCAGACTATACATTTTTAGATGACAGTTCTTTAAATTCTTCTATTGATAATTCACTTATAAATATCACAAATCATTCTTCTTTGTTAACATTAGCCTCGTTAGCTACAAATGATTGGATTTTCAGGCATAATTCCAATACTGATCTCATAAGTGACAGTAATAAAGTAGTGGGCTTTAATGTTGAAAACAATATTTATTTTAATTCAGATTATTTAACAATTGATAATAATTATCATACTTCAAAAATAACTGATTATGATGACTTGAATATAGATGATTTTAGTAATATTGGAGATAAGATTAAGAATATTTATACAAATGAACCCCCACCAGTATCATCTAAAAATTCAATTAATTATAATGATTTAACAAACTGTGATATCATAAAATACTTTGCTTATAATGAAAAAAAAAAATTACAATTTTTACTAGACAAGATTACAAGACTAAAAAATGCATCTTCTTATTTACCACAACTATCTAATAATATCAAAAAGTTATACCAGTATAGACCAGATGTATTAATATCACATACAATTTTCTACTTTCCTTACATTAAAAATAATAAAAATTTATGTCTACCCAATTCTCAAATGAAAACTGACTTGACTTATCAAAACTATAGACTATATATTGATTATATCAAACACATCAATCATAGTGATAGTTCTATATTAAATATCAGTAACAACTGCAAAATTAATACAATAATTGGTAAACTTTGGCTCAATAAATTAAGAGATAAATCGTTTTGTAATTGTAAATTTTCTCAAGATCAGCATTCACAATCACTTTGCTTAAATCTCTCAACTCAGGCCAAATCTTTTGATATTCAAATGAAACATTACAAAAAGTTGCAATTGAAACGATTTCGTAAATCAATCTTACCTCACCACAAAACAATTTTAAACAACTATACAACTGAGGGCATAGAATTATCTGATAATGGCAGCAAGCCTAGAAGAAGGGGTAGAAGAAGAAAAGATTTTGAAATGACAAGGCTGCTTCTCTTGGAAACAAATAATACAAATAAAACAAAAAATATAGAAAATGACAGTACTAGTAATAAAAGATACATTACAAGGCTTTCTAAAAAAGTTATTGAGTCATCTGAGCTTCCACTTAAAAAGGCTGAAAAACAAAAGATTAGTAAAATTACCCATATGGCTCAATTTAATGAGCCTGACTTAAAAAAAATAAAATCAAATCAAGATATTGAATCTATGAAATATGATCTTGTAATAAATAGCGTTATAGATAAGATTCGTCATGTGGCTAAAGAAATTATTGAAAAGAATGCATCCACAACCAAAAAAGAGGAATTACATATAAATGATCCCCCACAGCAATCACAACCCTTAATTATACCTTACAGAAAGACTGCAAAAGAAGAGATTCCTCATTTTGAACATATCAAAGAAAATTTATACACATACAAAGAGGACAAGTTATTTTAGCATTTATTATTTTAAAAATATCACATTTCCTAAAACATTATTTTTAATTAAAATAAATAGGAAATTACATATTTATAATATTAAAAATGTGATCATTTTTAAACCATTTTGTTTTAATTATAAGGAATTCTGAAAAATCGGCCAGGAAACAAGCTAAAAGAATGATATGCACATGCACTTTGGATGATGATCGTATAATTGAAATCCAGAATGAAACCAATATCATCGGATGTAGTTCTGATTGTTTGAACCGTTTGTTAATGATAGAGTGGTAAATATCTTATATAAAATATAACTAATCTACAAATTTTCAATTTATCATAAATCCATATCTATGATTCCATAACAACAATTTACATATTTCATTTTGAAATAATCTGATTATTGATTAATTTAATTATAGTGGTATCTAAATATTGAATCGAATATTAAAATTTAAACCCTTTGACCACACATTTAAAAATGTTGAAAAAGATAGTTTACTATCAATTGTTTAAAATACATGGACCAATCCAATTGTTACATTAAAATACAGCTTTCATTTTAGTCACTCCAAAAATCATTTTATTTTTTAGTCCATTTTCCTAATTTTTTGAATGCCCCAAGATGGCTTATTTTTCTGGAATAGGTATAAAAAAAATACCATTCCCAAAAAATACATTGGTTTTTTTTAAAAATTTAACATGGCACTAAAAATTGCTTTTTTTTAAAGCTATTTAAATTATTCTTATTAAGTAAGGTAAAAAATAAATCAACAAGTAGGAAATAAGCTAGTACCTTCTTTAAAAGACAAGGAGATGTTAAACATATTTTTTATATAATATTTTTTAAACTTCTTTAATTTTCAATTTTTCATAGGTAGGAATTTTCATTATTTTTCTAGCAAAAACTCACATATGAGAACAAAAAATATGTTAACACCATTTTTTAAAATTATTTATACCATTTCAATTCAAACATCATAGGTAAAAATAATTTTTAATTTTTAATACCCCAATTTCTTTTGAATTTATTTCATATTAAAATGAACATATTTTTTTAAGGGGAATATTTACTGATAGTCAATCCACACTTATCACAACGCTTAAGAGGAAGTAATTGATATAGATTATAAAAAATAACCAGTTAATTATTTAAAATGAAAGTCGCACATGTCATTATCTAAATCATATTTTATAGGGCTATTCACAAATTTTTAACTGATGCGGTATTTTCCGAATTCATACAAAACCGATCCAATACCAATATTAAGCTTGATTTTTATTTACCATCCATCTTTGAATATATGTCATTAAAATATTAATATTTTATATGCAAAAAAATTCGCTAATTATAAACTAATTAAGTTTTTTTTATTCTACATATGTTAATCATCACATTTAAAATATGAATAGACATGTGAGCCCAAGTCTCAATCGGCGATGAGGGTTTTTTAAAATTTTCTATTGTCGTTCTTTGGTGCGCCGAATTAACGTCACCGAATGAATTTGCGGCAGCGTTGGCGGAGCTACATATTTAAAAAAAGGATTTGATTTATAATTCAAAAAAAAGGATTTAATTTATAATTCAATGTATTACATTTTTTTTAAAAATTTATTTGTGGTTCCAACATTGTTTATTTTTTAAATCATTTCTTGCCCTAGCCCTATATAAATTTATGTAATTCTCATTCTCTGAAATAGACTTATTACATCTAGAACCCTTCATGCCTGTCCTAAGCTCCGAGGACATGAAGGTTTATTTTTTCAGGGGACCTCTCAATAATCATCTCGTTTCATCGAAATGTCAATCAGAATTATATGTCATTTTTCATCTAACACGTTTCACTTCATTTACATAATTTTCATTTCCAAAATTAACAATTCCCTATGTTGAAATTTATATTAAGACGTTAACTTACATATATTATATCAGACTAAATAAAATATATATTATATTGTACATTTAGCCATAACAACTAGAATATTAATCTGTTATAACAGTTATGAAATGTTTTCATTTGATAATTTTTGTTTTTTATGTTTATAAAATGGTTTATAGCATGGAACCAAATTTAAAAATAATTTCTAAAATAATTAAGACTCAAGAATTTGAGATCAAAGAAGATAAAAATAGAAAATCTGAAATTTGGAAGAAATTTTTACTTAGGTGAAAAGTTCCATATTTTTAGTCATGCTCGGATCAGGCTAACAAAAAAATTGTGCTCGTGTTGGACTTGGACCCAAGATTTTTTTAAATTTGTGCTCGGGCTACAAAAAATTACTTTGTAGGACTTCAAACACATCACATTAGTAATAAATATTCTGTCGATTTTTATTAGAACAAATTTATATATAAATTTGAAATGAAAGTAAGAAATATAAATAAATTAATAATCAAATTTAGTTAAATTATAATTTTCATGAATAAATATTGTTTATCGAGATTGGTGGGGCATAATCTTTAAGCATTGAGTATTTATCCAGTATGATGGAAAATACTTTTTCGCAAGGTATACTAGTTGTAGGTATATAAAGGATTTTCCTAGCTAAATTAGCAAGTTTAGGAAGTTCTAGTCACTTTTTCCCCCAAAAGATTAGTGCATCCTGTTCTGGTATAGTATGTTTGCCAAGTAATATATGTCATTCTTGCTTTAGATTGCTAGTTTTATTTTAATCATTGCTGGAAGGAATGTTAACGAGCTATTTTAGTTATATGAATGGGGTGTATGCCTAATTGAATCTTACTTGCATTTCTGTCATGCTCTATAAGTTTTAAATGCTGAATTAAAATTTTTAATTATGTTCGAATTTTAAAATTCTGAAACAATTTTAAGATTTTGAAATCTTGAATCAAGTAGTGTCATAAATATCTAATATTCAAAATATTTTTAACAAATTTTTATTTTAAAAATATTATTATTATATAAAATAAATTACTTGCAGTTTGATGATTGTAAATTATGGATCTATTATATACTAATACAATTCTTATTAAAAATTTCTATCATAATATTTAAAACACTATAAAAATAAAAATACAAGATCATAATTGTGTTCCCTAAAAGGAACCATAATTATATCTAAAAATTTATATTTGAATTTTTTGACGTACATATAAAAATTCTTTGGCTTCGTTTCTAAAATGCTGAATTTTGTTACCAAGATTTTTTAAAATAGGTTAATAGCGAAAAATGTCCGTTTATGGTGGAATAAATAGGAAGTGGTTGAGATTTTTGTATTTATTCATCTTCTTTGTACCTGCTTGGATTAACGGAATTTAATTTACTTATTTTTTTATTTACAATCACATAACATGAGTTTCTTTTGAAAACAACAGAAAAACCTTTAATAAATAATTTTTGTGTTTTAGTCTAATAAAAAAAATTCTGCTTAAATAATATGCAATTTTTCTATTAGAAAATAGAGAATGAAGTATAATAATGTAAAAGATATAAAATAATAATATGTAAAAGAAAACATTATATTTAAAAAAATTAAATACTACCAGAGTCCTGTAAGCCCGATCCACAACATATCATATACAAAATATTGGCCCGACCTGTAACCGAAAAAATTTATTAGATTCATTTGGGTAACCCCGTGTGATATGAACCAATGTTTCGGATTGCCCTCTTTGAAATAAATGAAACTTGGCATGATGCATATTTATATTGTAAATTTAATCAAATCCAAATTTTAGAGCACTAACTCAACCATTTCCAATGGTATACCCCTTTAAAGTCGAAATTGCACAAATAATGATTTCATTAGATCTCATTTAGTTTAAAAATTACTATTGATAGTCACTAATTATATATATAATTTTGTATGTTGCCTTATAAGAAAACATTAAATAAAACCCCAGGGTTTTCTAATTTCCCGTTAAATTAAATTATTTTTAAAGGTATTGTTTTGGGTGCTAACACTCACCGGGAAGTTTATTACATTTACATTTAAATTTATTAAAAATTTCGAGAGTAAATTTTCTTTATTTAATTTTATGTTAATTATTCATTATTTTTAAAATAAAACAATATATATTATAGATGATGCTATGTTTAAAAATAATTTTAATGTATTTTCTTTTACTATACTATTAGAATTTTTCTGGACCTATCCTTGTTCGATCCAACCAATTCCAACTGGCTGGACTCGGTTAAAGTAGAGCTCTACTTTGTGTACTTTTTTAGGTTCAAGTCAGGTCCGAGATTTTTTTATAATAGTATATTTACCCAATTGATCTGATCCGACTTTTTTCAATGGTCAAATCCGAAATTTCGATTTTGTTCCAAAATTAAATAGAATTTATGAAAATATTGATATGTATTTTTTTTAGAATATAAAATGATAATTAATATAAAAGCACAAAAAACCTTCATTTTTGTTTATTGGACAAGTATCCTTAGCACCCGCTGTCCAAGCCTGTCGGTGACCAGGGTGTCATCTTAAAGCTCCGAAATTCATCTTACCATATGTTTTTACACATCAGTCATCGAAGAAAAACCTGAAAATTTTTACGTTCCTGGATTGAACCTGAGACCTTCTGTTTCCAAGCATACATCATAACCCACTGGGAGATCTTTATCTGGAGTGCTTTGACAAAAGAATCCCACACAAATTGGAAGGAAAAATCCATAGTACAACCAACTATTCTATATAGTTCGGAAACATGGCCAAGCAAAGAATCAGACGAGTAAAATCTACAAACTCTGGAGATGAGAATGCTGAGGATGATTGTTGGGGTATCAAGAAAGGATGAGGTGCGAAGTACAAGAATACTAGGAAGTTTAAAGGTAGTGCCTATTAAGACTAAGATAATGGTGAACAGACTTAGGTGGTATGGGACACAATGAGAAGGCCGAACTACTTAGGAAATAAGGTTGAGAGTTTGGAAGTGATGGGCAAACGTAAAAGAGAAAGGCCAAAACTTCAATGGGGCCATAAAGTTAGAACCAATATGAAGAAGTATAAATTAGATAAAAGAGATAGTATGAATAACATAAAGTGGAGAGAGATATTGAAGGTGCTTACTACCAGAAAAGGTGAAAGCTAAAGAGAAAAAAAACTTAAAAACATAGCATTTATTTAAGTATTAGGAATGAAAAAAAATAAAATTTGCAGCCTATTGTCCCAATTTCTTATTCAAATTGTAATGAGATAAAAAATTTTTTTAAGAATATATGAATAATAAATATATAATTATATATATTATTTTATTAAGGTCGTAAATTCTTAAAAAAAAATCTAGATACAAATTCTTTGTAAAATATAGTATCTTATTAAAAATATC